ATATACCCAAAAGTGTTATTTCCCTATATAAACTATAATAAACTTGACCCTCTTCCCAAGGGAGAACGTATAGCCCGGGGGTACTGAAATTTACAATTTACATAAAGCCCTTGATGATCTTTCCATCCATGCAGAGAAACTGACTGTAGTACCTCCGAGTCCATCATTGTGCAGAAGAAGATCCTCATCTGCCAAGGATGATTCTGACTAAGTTTAAAAAAAAAGCAAAGCTCAGGTGACCTAAAAACTACTACAAAATTGACAATTTGTTCAACCTTTTAATGGTGAAAATTAAATACAGGAAATGTTCCATTCGAATTATTTCAGCATGTCTCAGAAAAGCTTGAAATTTCATGAAATATTTCAATATACACGATGCACTAGAATCTGCATATAAGTAATTAAAGAAAAGAATAGAAGAAGTTTTTTTTCCATTGCTTTCTATATTTATCCATATTCTCTTTATAAGGAACTCTAATGCAATTTTTGTAAACCTCCAGGAAAATGGCTTCATTATGAAGATTTCTGAACTTATAAATTCACACTGATGTACTAAGTATGGCAGTGTGCCCGAGGCAACAATAGAGACTGGAAGTCCCACTGTTAAAAAACAATGTGTGTGTTTAGACGACTATTGGTCTACCACTTTTGTAGCACTATTAATTTTTGATGAGAATTATGATGGTCAATGGAGCTTGTGTACCATCTCCTCCTTGGTAATGAGGTGATTTGTCTTGTTGACAAGTTGCATCAGTGTGGTGATGTTGTGGGACCAGTCATTGAGAATGTCACTTGGGTCCTTTTGGTGGGTGAAATTCACTATACCCGCCATGCGATCCATCTTGGCTTGAACAGTCTTGTTCACAACAAGGTTGGACAAAAATTCTTCAGATTCCTAAAAGTAGACATTACATTCTTAGTCACAGTCATATATATATTTATATATATACATTTCTAACCATTAACAGAAGCTTGAAACAACTTTCTCCTTCCTCTGTGTATGTCAGATGTTAGTTACACGGTAACTTTTTTTCATTTTTTCCCTTCAAATTAGAATACTAGCCTAATGCCATCCCAAATTCTACAGCTTGGGAATCAATCACAAATAGCAACAAAAAATATTAACCATAAATGTTAATATCTTACCGCTTCAGACTGGTCCAAAAGATCAGCAATTCTCTTGGTCCTCACACGGGTATAGTATTTGGCCATCACACGAATATTCTAAAATACATCATTACACAATTACTTTTAGATTCATTCTTATATATTCCAAATTTTTACACTCCTTCACATGATATAATGGTATGTATCAATCTCATATTCAGCAAAAAGCATTTATAGTGACAAACTGAAATAAAGCTCAACATGTTTATGAGCAGTTCACTTTTGTAAATTCTACATCATAAAACCTCATCATACCACAAGAGGTTGGATGAACAATGTTTAACCCTTTTTACTGACAGCACTGAAACTTAAGATACTTTTTGAGGTTTTTATTCCTTTGACAATGTCTGTTACTCACATGTTCTACAACTCTATTTTTTAGGTCTGCCCAGCGTTTTGCTCCCCCTTCCAGCTTTGTGTTGAAGACGTGGGTAGCTGGACTACTTGTGGAACCAAACTTTAGCTCGCTCTCGTATGTCAGACACAGCTGCTTCCATGTGATCAGCTCTGACGTCGTGAAACAATTTAGAAGCTCTCTGCAGAGTAAAACTAGGTGTAATTAAGACAGAAGTGTCACAAAATTCATTTTCAAGGAAAACAATTGACAAAGATATTCCTGCAACAACATGGCCAATAAAATATTGAAATGAAAATTACATGCAAACGTGTGTACTTGATGTAAAACTATGAACATTTATGATGACACACTTACTGGTATTTGGCAATTTCTTCCAGATTTCTGTCTTCCTTGACTCTGTGTATGAAGTCTGACTGCTCATTATCGTAGGGTGCCAGTATCACATACAGTACTACATAACGCAGAGCCTGCAGGTCAAGGGTCAAAAGTCTTTATTCATGATCATTGTACTGTAGTCTAAAGATAGGATGAATTCAAACTTTCTAGATATAAACAAACTAATCTGCATAACCCAAAAGTAAATCTATATAACACAAAAGGTAATATGAATTACCTAAAAGGTAATCTATATTACCAAAAGGGTAGTCTGTATTACCATGCACATAACATCCTAGCCAATAATCAAGTTGTAAGTCTCAAACACAGAGATCAATTAACATGTTGAGCTTTGAAAACTCTGAAAAAATGTTATATTGTAACTATTAAAAAAAAAAAAATCATATATCCCTGTACTGAAACATTTTAATGCAAAATTTGTACGTAATGGAAATCAAAACTAGCATTTGACCAATTATGAGAAAAATCAATACATATACTATAAACTCCCAACACTTTTTTGTTAGTAAATCAGTTAAAAAACCAACATCAAGCTGTACCAAGTTTTTTCTCTCTCCAGCAAATCAATGATTTTAACCTGATGGTGATTCACCTAATTCCAAGGACTAGTATGTTTTTCAGTATGAATTTGAATGAATATGAGAAACTGACTCCTAATATTACTCCGTGTTTCACTGACCTATGACTTGAGACAAGTGTGTTGTGCTTACCTCCCTCATTTTGTCTTTGTTTTCTTTGATCTCTGGTGTATCATATACAGCTTTGTAATGTTTACAGATTGCAAGGTAGGATCCCTCATGTTCGTCAAGCTCAATCATCAACTGGTAATATTTCAACTTTAGCTCCTGAAAGTACACAGTCAAATATCAGTATCGTGTCGTTTTATAAGTGTACAACAATCTACTTAATCAACCTAAACATGTAACTTATTGATAACACGAACTATATCTCTGTGTTACATGTTGATACTGTAACACAATGTAGATCTGAGTGTTACATATTGATAATACAATATAGATCGGTTTGGTTTGGTTTAGTATTGTTTAACGTCTTATCAACAGCTAT